ACGCGGGTTCTGTTTCTCCTCCTTCCTTATCCACAATGACGTCCAACATCGTCCAACACATCATGACGTCCAACATCGTCCAACACATCAGCATGATCATGCTCATCATGGCATCATATCATAGCATATCATATCATCATGAATCATAATCGTAAAAGTCGCCACCATCGCCGTCATCATCATCACCATCATCCTCAACGTCATCGCCATCGTCGTCCTCCTCCTCCTCCTCATCATCATCATCATCATCATTGTGGTCTCCACATCTCATAAGGACAGACACTGCAGCTTCGGAGGTCGTAGCTGTTACAACCTGAACCAATTGAACCAGAAACTCTCTCCCAAATAAGAGGCAAGGCGCCTTTCCATGCCATGGCGGTCGGTGGTAATGGCCAAACGGTGAAAATCCGGCAGGGCCAAGGCTGACTTTAGAGTCTCGTCGTCCCAATCAAGTCGAACTGCTAACAACAGTGTCCAATACATTCTAAGAAGGGAAGGCTGGGATGGAATTCTCCTTTTCTAATTTTGAGGATGGGGTCGACACGGATGGCCAAACTACAGAAGCACATGATGTCAGTCGCGTGTGATGTCATGTCTTGAAAAGCGCAACAACGAGGATTTATATCGGTTGGTCTCAAAAACGAGGAGAAACCCAACCCAAATTGTTTTTCCCCTTGAACAAGAAGTCTTTTGGGATTCATTCTGAGACAGAGTCCATTCTCCATCAACTTGTTCTCAGATTCAGGTCAGCCAGATCGGCCTTGTATAGTCACACTGTATACATGTTCGACTTGAAGTTTGAAGCAGAAAAGTGTTGACGTTCTGTTGTGTATCCTGGGACGTCTGTTTGCTCCCATGGTGGTTGTTTCTACTGTCGGCTGCTTCTTTCATTCACTCGATCCCATACTAGCTGCTTGGCTGCGTCGCAAGCAGAGTCTATCAGGTCGTTGGAGTGAACCATGATGGCACCATGGCATGGAGCAGCTCCTCATGCTTCCTGTCGTGAAACTGCTCTACCTGAGCTAAGGATGCAATCCCAGTTATATGTGGAGTTCCGAGGGGAGATCCAACATCCATATGGCCAAGAATAATGAAAAAATGTTTGAACATCATTTGGTCTCATCTTCTACACAAAATCCATCAAAATCATTCAATGTCTATAATAGATCATTCAAGCCGCGGCGTTCTTTCTCCGCTGGATGGTCGGGATTGCTCTCAGGCTGATCCTGCCGCTGGGATCAGTCAGTTAAGAAAGAGATCCGGCAAATGCAAACACTGCACTCTTCTAGACAGACTAGAAGAGCTTTGTATCACAACATGTATACTCAATTTGTCACTCTGGGATTGTCCCACACGCCAGAAACCAGTACTGTAAACGTCAGTACCAAGAAACCACTAGACCAATTTGTTCCTTTACAAGTTGCCATTCATTTGACAAAACTTCGTGAGTCACATGTCACATCCTCCACAAATTTGTGCCAAACCGGGGAAACCAAAGACTCCCCACAAAAAGGTTGATATACTCACATGATCTCACTTGTCTATTTTATGAGTTCTAGCATTGATCTCGTACACTCGCAAATCTCACATTCGTCTGCCCCAACTGCCAATGCTACTGACGGGCATTGAAAGAGGGTGATTGAAACTCCGACTCTTCGAACACCGAGCCAGCCGATCGGACTCCTCTGCTGATAGCTGAACCGTTTGCTCGTTCATTGGTGCGGGTTGCCGCCATTGGCGACTATAGTAGTGAGTAGTGACCAGCAAAACTAACATGAACCATCATGAACCATCATGAACCTCCACAACCAGTGGTCCGTGGGACTTGACCTTCCATGCAGGTCCCTTTCTGAGGGCCGTCCTCATCTTTGGAGCGAAGCAAGCCTGTGAACAAAAAAGAATGCCAAGGAGGAGGCCAAGGGCTGATGGAAGATCTATGAATTCCTTCAAACTCACCGCAGCACTGCAATGCATACATTGAGAATAAACTATGAATATCTATGAATCATGACACATACAAATCTCCCACTGTCCATGCGCACGAAAGAATGATATGGAAGCATGTCTGAAAGTGCTTGAAGATAAAATACCCCAACAGGTTTAAAACAGCCACTCTACAGCTAGGCTGACTGGATTGTGAACATGTAGAGTCTGGGGGTTCAAGAAACCGGAGGAGCGAAGAGTGCGCTAAGGAACCAAGGAAAGAAGCATTGATGCGATGTAGGCGTTGCTCCAAAAGAGTGAGGAAGCCACATATCCTAGGAATCCCAAGACAACTATATATATATATATTCTCTTCCAACATGTTCTAAACCCTTTCAACATCTATCCTGCCCGATCATCTGTATTCTCATAGACATCTCCTGTAGAAGCGCATCAGAGGTTCAAGCCGTGATGTTTTCCCGCATCTTTCCAGGTACAAATCCCCTGCCAAAAAAAAGCTGGGAAGCGTCGTATCAAGACAATGTTCAATCCCTTGGACAAATTCTTACCGATCTTACCAAGCTTCATAGCCTCAAGAATTCCACACAAGACTGCTAGGCAAAACACCTAGAAACGCAAAGGAACATCAAATTGCAAATGGAGACCACGCTCTACCACCCAATTTATTCACCGAACCTTTTGGGTGATACAATCATGCACCTTAACATCCTTAACCTATGTGGTAAATGGTGGTAGTATATTATGGTCTGATCTCAGCCCCAACATCGTCTCATGTAGCTCACCGTCCCAGCAACCGACGCCTATGCAACCGATGCCCGTGATCGTCGCCGCCAGCAGCGCCAGCGGTAGGGAGAAGCGCCGCACGAAGTGCAGTGCTGCCTGCGGTCACGGGAGTAGTGCGCCGCAGTGTGGAGCACGGAGTAGCGGTGGCCCCCCTACAAATCTCGGGAAACACACACTAGACATATCATGACATATATATATCTAGACATATGGACTGCAAGGTTGACATCCAGGGTTGCCCCAACACTCAGAGAAGCGAGTTGAAGCTGATGTTCCATGTCTTGAAGGGCATGACGCCACACTTTCTTTCCCCCTCTCCGGTCATGGCCTCCATGGGTCCTGGCAAGCTGGTGGCCAGGGAGCGGATCGCCAACAGCCTGACGTGACCGCCGTCCGGGCTCGCCGGGGGCGCGGGGTTTGAACGGAAAGGTCGGCTCCCAAAAGGGTCTCAATCTTGCCCTCTCTCTGTGTGTCTTTGTGTGGGGCATGAGGCAGGTGCTTAGCCAAGACGTGGTGATGGCATGATGTAGCCGCCGAGAGAAGAGGGAATCCTCAAATTGTCAACACAGTACATCATAATAGATCATGATGTCCACAAATGTATATAACCCAAGTTTGAATGCTTGAATGGTTTTCAGAATCCAACCAAGTGAATCACATGGGCTTCAAAGCATCGAATCAAGGGAGAATCGGTTGGTGATCAAAAACACAATGTTGGGGGGGCGACTCGAACACCCTGCAATGCCCTGCAACATGCTGACGATGAATGTCTCAAATAAATGTCCGAAGCTGTCCACACAAAAAGTATAACTAAACATTCCAACTTGAAGAGCGGCATTCTATGGGATTCTCATGCATTCTCTGCTCCTGCTTCAGGTTCAAAGTCAAGTGATATCGCGCCCAAACGATCGGTGGTTCCAAGTTTGGCCCATCATTCAACGACATTGGCTTCGATGCCGACACCCTTAAGAACGACATGGGCTTCGATGGGTTTCACCCTGTTTCACCCTGTTTCACATGGTTCCACTTGGTTTCCTTCGGCGGTACAAATTAATGTCCTGAATTTGAAGGTACAAACACTGGGGCAGTGAACCACAGAGGCCAAAAAGGCCGCTCCATGCTCCCCTCTGCACCGCCTGGCCACTGTGCCACTGACGTTCAACCTGGCAAAGCGTTGAATCCCAACCACAATGGAGCACAATCATCACTTAATCCCTTTGAACTTTGATCAGCTGCTTCGAAACAGCCTTTGCTGAGCGGTCGACGTGCAAAAGACGCCCGGCGCCATCCGGCTGGCGCCCGCCAAGAGGCAAACCACAGCGCCGGGCCTCGGATTTGTTGAAAACATTGAAAGCAGCAAGTCTGATCATTTGTTAATTGATACATATTGAATCATATTGATACTCTTAGCATCTCCGGGATCAGATTTCTCAACATCTTAATATCAAATACAAATACTACTCTTCATTACTCTTCTATGTCTTGTTTGTCTTGTGTGTGCCCGGCGTGTTTCATTGTACCAGTGGTCGAACTGGATGAGGCTTGTACTTATCAGAATCTGTCAGAATCAATAGAAAAGGACCTGCATTTTAGGCAGCCGAGACTCACCAAGCTCTATTTGTTTTCTGATGTTTCATGCTGCGACCATCCACACGAGAATTAAACGGTAGGATCCTGGATGGTATAACCTAGGTAAGAAGCGGAAGATTCCATTTCAACCCAGGTACGTGCTCAAATGACTCTGTAGCAGTGACTACTTGCCAACCCCTCTGGACCTCTAAGGCTGCCCCAAGCTTCCATCGTCCATTGAAAAGGAAAGGTAGCAGCCACCACACCTCCTATGTTCTTTCCCTCGCATCCACCAAGTTGTTCATCCCTGTTGGCATACAAATGTTTAATTTCAAGACTGCAATCCCCAAAACACACAGAGTACACTTATGTACACTTCATGTTCCCAACCACTGCAAACAACGACAAGACAACCGAGCGGCTCCACGACCACTGCCAGTGCTGCGCTCTTGGCAAAAGCGTTCTGGATCCGTTGCAACGACTTGGCCGTGCCCGGAGAGCGACGCTGGAGCCACAGGAGGCCCTGGTCCTGATGCCGCTGGGTCTGGCGTTTGGGGACGAAGACCCAAGTTGAAGACGCCACCTGAGTTGAAGCTCTGTCCGCCCTCAAATCTGAGCTCTGCAACCCCTGTAACTGTCCATCAAGCACATCCATCTCCCACCCCCGGATCCATCCCGCGGGATCGAGCGCAGCGACTCTTTTGCTAAGCGCTACTCACGGGTTTCGAGGGTCGCCCCTCGACAGCCTCCTTGGTGCTTTCCAGCACGGTGAACTGGATGGCTCCTGCCAAAACACCGCGGCCCAAGCGCCAACCAAGGCCTGGCCGGGCCATGGTGAAGTCGGGCCATGTGGCCGACGAATGGATGGATCCTCCGAAGCGCCGCTGGGTCTGGCAACTGCCATTTGTGCGGTAAATCTTTTGCCTTTTGTATGGTCCATGGTCGCAGTGGAAGGGGTTATAGTTGATACATGGAAGGAGAGTTATAGTATGCTGTAATCTTTCACTGGTTATAGTTAAAGTTATAGTTATATAAGTTATATACAAGCTTGAGTTGGAGTTTCGCCTGACCAAATCTTCTTCGCGTCGTTCGTGGCAATCAAGTCCTGTCGCTACAACGCCCGCTGCACGCCCGCTGTACACGTCGGTGACATTTTGGAACAGCATCACAACCAAATCATGCTCTGCAGGTTCAAGACATGTGACACATGACTTCTGATTGGAATGCGAGTGTGGTAGACTGGCCGGTCTTGCCTTCAACTTCTCCAGAACGTTTTTGGACTGCTTTGAGCCTGGAGTACCGTGGAATTTGGTCCATGCCCGGGCCTGTGGGTTCGATGGAGATCCACAATCTTCATGCTCATCATTGTGAGAAACCTAGAGAATAACACAAAAATAGACTGTAAATTACTGTAATAAAGTAACAACCTCTTGAGGGATTTCTGTCTATCTCCAATTCTGTCATCCAACTAGCAGACTGAGTTCTGAAGAGACTGCATAACTGAAGGATCTGCATATATTTGGTTCACCAAAAGGTCCTTAAGTCGTCTCCCTGTTCCACCCTGTTTCCTCGTCTTCCCACCTGTGCCATCCACCATGACCTGCGTACGCACCACATCCAGGGGCGTCGTCACCGCGTTCGACATCAGCGTGGCCAAGGCCCCCGCGGCGCCCGGCGGAAGTCGGCTGCCGCCTGCTGGCGTAGAACATGCTCGCCAGCGGGGGGTCGGATTGGGTTCGGAAGTGAGGGCAATGGATAAACCATGATGAACCACTCGAAGCTTGACCTATAGGAAGTATATATACTATTATATACTCAAGATGTCATTCTGGACATGATTCTTGAATTATTTGGCCTTTGAGTTAGTTTAGGGGGTCTTCACCAATTGCACACGGCTTCTCTCGTGCATTCTCTTGCTTGACTTTGGGGAGCAGTACCATGGGTGTCTTCTTCTAAGGCGCCATCAAAACCCACCGAACGGAGTACAGTCGACGGACAATTTTCGTGCCGCAGTGCGCTCAGCAAGCGGCCTGCGCTTTTTAGCGCTTCGTAGGCCAAGAATTTGGAGAGATCGGCAGGCAACTTGTAAAGGACCTCATCACAAAGCCCATTGCAGGTGATTGGGCAATTGATTCATTGGTTGGGTGACTGGGCAGCGAGGGTTCGGCTGAAAAGTCAGGTCTGGTGAATGGAGAAGATATGATTCAAGAAGGTTATCGCTCCTTAATGGGGGCCTATCACTTTTTCAAGGCCCAGCCACAATTTTAACATAGCTCAACATATCCAACTGCAGCAACATAGCTATCATTTCTGCAGATTTTAGCCAAATTCCAGAAATTCACGACTCACGACTCACAAACAATAGTAAATTGGTTGCTCGCGGCGTGCTGTTGTCACCGCGTCTTTGCGAACAATAATTCATATGGAGCCCAAGAGACGACGACAACACCGGCAGCACCAGCCGCAATGACAACCGCAACCACTGGGGTCTGCCGGTCTGCCTGAAACTTGGGGGATGCCCCAACCTTGGCATAAGGGAAATGGATTATATTATTATATACATATATATTGAAGGAATCTCTAAAGTTGTTGACAGATACTTGCAACTGCCCCTTCTGTCATCCTCAACGACCCGCAACAAGTCTCTGCAGATTCTCCACGTTCGCCCAGCGGCATTGGCTCCATAACCACGGTAGAGACCTGTGACGCCCTCCTGCGGGTCTGCTTGGACATTCGACGCCGACCCGCACCATCCACACGGGCTGCGAAGAGGCCTCCCCACACTGCTTTGTCCGGATGACAACATGGTTCATGAAATAGGAATTTTGGAAGAAGGACAAACATGAAAATGACAAAATATGTTGTTATGGTTTTCTATATAGATCGATCTCACCAGTTGGAGACACACCCAAACAACTCTTCTGTTCCTCAAGCAGCTCTAGGAGCCCTACTGTGCCTAATCTTGGTGGCAAAAACAACTCGAAATCAGCTGCAAGGCTTCAAAACGAGGCTGCCTGAAAGCCCCCATGTCGACAGAAGATCTAGCCAAACAAGCGTCGACGCATCAAACTGAAGCGTCTGGATTTTCGTGCACATCTGGTCTGTTGTTCTCCCTTGGTGTTTGAATTGTTTGTCAATGTTTGTCAACATGAGGTACAAGTTGAGTCCATATTAAACTTGGAACTTAGAACACTTGAAAGACCACTTCCAGCAAAAACTGCAATTGCTTAGAGGTCATGTGGATGAAGACTCAGAGCTGGAATACAATAATGCACACCTCGTTACCTCGTTCTCATTCTGGATCTGAAATTTGCTCACTTGTTCATGGACAACACATTTACCACCTTAATCACCCCCGGGACACCCCATCCTGTGGAAACAAACATAAGTGGAAATAAAGATCGCATCAGTGCAACAAGTGTCAGCCAATTGGCCCCCCTTGCTCGTCCTTCTCATAGGTCTCTGTCAACTTTTGCCACGAGCCATCCCAGGCCAGCGCCTGTCACGGCAATGGGAACTTGCACGTATCATGTTCGTGATATGACAATCAGTGGACTAGTGTCGCGCATGCTCATGAAACCTGACGTGCTAATGGGGTTCTGGTATGGAGGACGTTGGAAGTGAGAAGTGAATACTTGGATGACAATGCCAAATAGAAAGTCGGTGATGCATTGCAAGCCGGGTTTAAACAATCTTTGGTACGATAACAAGGGACTCCAAGTCCAGGTGCAAACAAATTGAAGCTTGGACTGAGAACAGGCTGCGAGGATTGCTAAATATCACCCCAGGCTCACTGCTCACACATATCTTCAACTGTAGGGTGGCCCTTCCATGGATCAATGTGCCCCCATCAGTGGGCCCACATCTGGTCCACCATCGCCCCCTTTCGCGTCCTTGCTCCTAGTAGCGTCCTTGCTCCTAGTAGTAAGGCCAGGAGCCCCTAGTAGCGTCCTTGCTCCTAGTCTCCTAGTAGCGATGCCCTTTGCTACTAGTAGCGTCCACCATCCTCCACGTCAAAGACCCGCTCCGAGGCCTCACCAGAGGCCACGCTGGCCATGGCCTTGGTCTCCGCCACATCGAAGGGCGTCTTGATGGCCTGGAGAAACCGGCACCGTTGGTCTCCGAACGACGGACGTCGGTGTTGCATGGTGTTTCAGTATGGTAGAAAAACACGTTGACACCTGAGGAAAAACAAAGCATGGCCAGTTCCTGCAAATGTGGAATACAGTACACATTAATTTTTTGAAGCTCTGGAGATACTTTGAAAAACTTCGGACACGTGTTTGTGTCAGGTGACTCTTCCCCTGGCTGCACCGTGCCCACCCACCAGCGCTGAGCACCCCACCTTGGCGCTTAGCACCCCAGCCAGCACGCCCGCGGAAGTCTTCACCGGCGCCGGCAGTGCGCTCGGGACGAGGCTCTGTGCGGCTTCTTTGGCCGCGAAGAAGGTGGCGCTTCCTGTGCGGAACATTTCGGAGGACCAACACGGCGTAGGGCGGAGTTCAGTGGGTTGATTTCTGTAGCTAAGTTGGGAACCGGATTTTGGGGGAATCGCTGAGGAGAATCCAAGTCAGTATCTCTGTCAAACACCGGGTAACTATAATATCATCATTCAAGTTTGTCGGGGTATTTGTATACCGTTGTATGAACCATTGGCTGCAGTTTTGAGAGACACCTGAATTTCGGACAATATTACTTATTACCCGCAAAGGACGTTAATAATTTGGGTGGGCCCCTATCGGTTTTCAGGTTTTGGCATCTCTTGACATGTTTTGGGTGGTAACCTATCGGTCTCAAGTGTTATTATATGAGTGGCGGATAACGTCGTAGTAGTATCCACAAGTTGTACTACTACTACTGCTACTACTACTAATAATACTACTACTGCTACTGCTACTACTACTACTACT